TACAAAGGATGACTCAAAGTTGTGGCATTTGAGGTATGGTCATCTCAGCATAAACGACCCTAAATTGCTAGGTGATAAAGGTATGGTTCTTGGACTACCAAAAAATAGTTCTCTTGATTTATGTGAATGGTGCATTTATGGAAAACAAACCAGGAAATATTTTTCTATTGGAAAAGCATGGAGAGCTTCTAAATGTTTAGAACTAATACACACTGACTTATGTGGTCCTATGCAGACTAAGTCCTTAGGTGGGAGTCGTTATTTCTTGTTGTTTACTGATGATTATAGCCGCATGAGTTGGGTGTATTTTCTGGAAAACAAGTCAGAAACCTGTGAAAAGTTTCAGATGTTTAAGGCTTTGGTAGAGAACCAAAGTAGTTGCAATATCACTATTTTTTCACACAAATAGAGGAGGAGAGTTCGTGTCAAATGAATTCAATTTGTTTTGTGAAAAACATGGCATCCTTAGGGAGTTAACAGCTCCTTATACTTCAGAGCAAAATGGTGTTGCTGAACGGAAGAATCGAATTGTGGTGGAGATGGAAAAGAGTATGTTACAAGCAAAGGAACTCTCAAATAAGTTCTAAGCAGAAGTTGTGGCAGCATCTGTTTACTTGCTAAATCTTTCACCAACAAAAAATGTTATGAATAAAATTCCTTATGAAGCTTGGTATTGTAGAAGACTAAATGTAAGTCATTTACAAGTTTTTGGGTGTGTTTCTTATGCTTTGGTAAGTTCACAAGCTCGTCAAAAGCTTGATGAAAAATCTAAAAAATGCATTTTTGTTGGCTACTCACTCCAAAGTATATAGACTGTATAATCCTTTTAATGGCAAGATCTCAGTCAGAAGAGATGTAATATTTGATGAAAATGCAAGTTGGGATTGGATTAAAAAGTTGGTGCCACAAAAGATTCCTATGCCTCTTGAAATCACTGAAGATGAAGGAAAAGAGTCAACCTCTACAAGTACTCTTTTAGGTTCTTCCATGGTGTCACAAAGCTCGCCAATTGTAGCAACTCATGAAGAGTCTTCAAATGAGATTATTCCATTAAGAAGATCAACAAGTCCTAAAAATCCAAATCCCAAGTATGTTAATAACCTTTTCTCTTATTGTTTCAGATTTCATGAATTAGAAAGAAGCTGCTGGAAAAGAAGAACGGAAGAAAGCAATGGTGGAAGAAATGAAATCCATCGAAAAGAATGGAACATGGAAATGATGGAGTTACAAAATAGAAAAATGCAATTGGCTTGAAGTGGGTGTTCAAAACAAAGTTTGCAGCTGATGGTAGCCTACAAAAGCACAAAGCTCGTCTTGTGGCAAAAGGATATGCACAATAATATGATGTTGATTTTAAAGAAATATTTTCTCTGGTAGCTCGATTTGAGACAGTGAGGCTGGTTCTAGCATTGGTTGCACCGTTACAATGGGCAATTTATCAAATTGACATCAAGTCGGCATTCCTCAATGGAGACTTCCAAGAAGAAGTCTATGTCACACAACCTTAAGGTTTCACAAAGGAAGGCGATGAAACAAAGGTGTACAAGCTGAAAAAGGCGTTGTATAGCTTGAAATAAGCCCCTCGAGCATGGTATAGTAAGATTGATGGATACTTCCAGAAAAATGGATACATGAGAAGTAAGAATGAACCCACCTTATATGTGAAGAAGGAAGGTAATGATTTCATTATTGTATGCCTTTATGTTGATGATATCATTTACACTAGTTCTTCACGTTTTCTTCTGGATGAATTCAAGTCTCAAATGATGAATGAGTTTGAGATGTCAGATATGGGTTTATTAAATTACTTTCTTGGCCTTCAAGTCCATTAGACCGAAGAGGGAATATTTCTTTCACAAAGAAAATATGCTAGAGACCTACTCAATAAATTTAGCATGATTAATTTCAAGCTTGCGGCTACACCAATGAATATCAGTGTGAAATTGCAGCAGGTAAATGAAGAAGAATTAACAGATGCAAGGAGGTTCAGAAGCTTGGTTGGAGGTCTAATATACTTGACGCATACTAGACATGATATTGCATATCCTATTGGTGTTTTTTCTTGGTTTATGCAACAACCTTCAAAGGTACATTATAGAGCAACAAAGAGAGTCTTGTGGTACATTGCCAGAACTTTGAACTTTAGTATTTGATACTCCAATACTGATAATTTCAGATTGTTCTGGCACACAGTTAGTGATTGGGCAAGTTCATTGAATGATAGATAGAGTGTTTCGACAAATGTTTTCACTCTAGGTTCATGTGTGGTGACTTGGAGTTCAAAGAAGCAAGCTACATCATCATTATCAACTTCAGAAGTTGAGTACATTGCAACAACTTCAATAGCTTGTCAAGCCGTCTGGCTAAGGAGAGTGTTAGCAAATCTTCAATAGGAGCAGAGAGGAGCAACATAGATATTTTGCTACAAGAAAGCAACTATCTCCATGACAAAGAACCCAACATTCCACAGCAGGACAAAGCATATTGATATTCATAACCATTTTATTCATGATTTGGTAGCTAGGAGGAAATATTGTTGGAATATTGCAACACGCAAGAGCAGCTGGCTGATGTATTGATGAAGACTTTATCAAAGGAGATATTCTGCTATTTTAGAGGATTGTTTGATGTCTGTAGTTTTGAATCAAGAGGGATTGTTAAAGAGTGATTCAAAATGATTGACTAAATTGGGACATGGGTAGTTTAGTAGAACTAGTCTTTTGGTTTTTGTTAAGTAGTTTCCTATATTTGATCAAGTTTTATTAATGTTGTTGATTAAGTGTTGTAGTGGGTTACATGACCTATATTTTAGGATTAGTTGTTTATTTGTTAGCCTATATATCGTGTGAGCATATTCTGTTATTCTAGGTACTCCCAGTTAATCAGAAATTAAAACAGTTGCAACTTTCCAATATATGCTTAAATCTATCGACAACGACATCCAACGTGTACATGAACACATGTTTGTCATTTTTTATGAATGTGAGAGTTTGAACCATGTTGTGCATGAATCATTATGACGAAAGGGGATGACCACTATCACCCTACTAGATGATTTTCAATTCCAACATTTGGGAGTCTCCTCCCACACACTCATATAATCACCACCAACAATAATTACTTCAGCTGCTATCATTATAGACAAAATTGATCGATCCTAGATTACGATGTAGATCTATATCTAATCGATGACTGACTGATGACTGATATGAAAATGTGCAAATAAAAATATCAATAAACTAAATTGGGTGTAATCAAATCTCTGCTAGCACTGGAATGAAGAACTGTATTTGTAGGACTTCTAAACTACGACAATCTATCTACTAATGAGGTATTGAGTGGGAATTTGAAAGCTTTTCAAGCTAGTAAAAATGGTGAATTTTTTTTGTTACAAAAATTAAAAATAAATGGGATAACAATGGAAGCAATGAGCATGAATGGAGATTTTCAGTTGTGAGGAGGAAAATTTCGCTCGAGAAGTCGCCGGCATCGGAAAAAGTAGGTGAAAAACGGAACCTTTTTTTTAGTGGCTTCTTGAACAATTTTTTTTTGATTATTTTATAAATCTGAAAATAAATGGTAGGAAAAAATAAACATTTGTTGGAAGAGGTGGGAACTAAAGTGTAATATTAAAGACTTGGGAGTTGGTCTTGTATCTTTTGAAAGAATATTTGATGATGTCATAATTAGTGTCTTTAAACCTAATTTTTCAAAACTTGTGCCTAAATGTCCTAATAAGTTTTGAAAGTGGTTATTTTTCCAACTCTCCCAAGTTACTGTAACATCTACGCCATCATAGATTGTGGCTTTCATTGTGTAGTTCATCTTTGTATGTGACTCTACTTTCTGACTAGTGATACGAATTTAATAATCGTGCAAATTAAGAGTTTGACACTAGATCACAAATGATTTTTAGTGGTAATTAATTAATGACAATAGTTTTATTGCCGTTAAGTATGTATTTTAGCGGCAATTAACACTCTTTGTATATGTCGCTAAAGCCTTTAGCGATATTGAATCTTATGGCATTTAACTAATGTAAGTAAAAACTTTAGGACTATTTATTAATATGTATATTTTATTACCGCTAAAAATTGTGTTCACGGTGTTTTTATAAACATGTCCTCTGTTACTATTAGATGTGCCCAATAGTTTAGTGTAGTAATCAACAATAACATTAGTGATTCCATTTAGATCAGTCAAGGTATTGCCATAAGTATATCTAACAGTAAAGATCCTCTTGTTATTTCTGCAAGATTTTGAACACCCCTACTTGACATTAGCCAATTAGTTAATGAAGTAATGCCAATATCTTAATTAGGTCATTAAATAAATACAAAATACTATTTCCTCTAGTCCATATTAATTGAATTTGTTATGTAATGCACACATATTAAGAAAAATATTCAAGGACATAATTTTCATTATTGTTCATTGTGAAATCATAAATATAACTTTATAAGTAGTGTAATTTATCTCCTAGAAAATATAAACTTTAACAAATGAAAGGGAAAATATGAAAAAAAATTTCAAACATCCATCTTGAACTTTGAACAATTAATTATTTTAAACAATGAAAAAAATGTAAAAAGTTCAATTAATATGAAATAGAGAAAGTAGTAACAATAGTATAACTAACTATAGATCATAATCTAATATTATTGGTAAAACAACCACTTACAAAATCAATACTAAATGAACTTCCAAATCAAATGGACAAAAGAAAGATCCATTCCAAACAAAAATAAACCTAATTAAGAAAAACAAAAAAACTATGTGAAACCTTGCAGTGTAATGTCTAAACCATGGGTAGAAGAAACAATGCAAATAACATGTTGAATGAATAGGCAGTAGTGCTTGCAGAAGAGTGATTTCTTGAAGAAGTAGGAAAACGATAAGGATAACGATTATTCATCGTTGTAGGAGGAGGAGGAAGAGTTGATGGAGTATTTGTTGTCATAGGAGGAGGAGGAGGAGGAGGAGTTGTTGTTGTAGTTGGACTAACTTTTGATGTGTATTTTGAGTCCAGATGCACAATGACCAGGAATACCACACAAGAAGAAGTAGTCTCCATCAGGAGTGTCAAGGGTGATTGAATCACTACCAGAGTTGAATGTGGCAATTGGATTACTAGTGCATGAGTTGTAGTCGTTGATGTCAACTTGCATCACGTTGTGCAATTGTGGATCGTAGTTGAAAACTGCATAAAAAGATCCATCAGAGTTTGACATAACTCAACAATTTATTACTCGATATGTCTAAGTAGTTCAGTAAGAACTCAAGTTTAGATTTGAAAATTTGTAAACTCGAAATCCTGCCTTTGTATCTCAATTTACTCACATGAATTAATAAATGTGTTGGCGATTAAAAATTTGGTTATACAATTCAACAATGTATGCATTTTTGTAGTTGCAAAAAACAAAGCTCAATATGAAACTAGTTTGATTTATGTGTGTGTCTTAGTTGACAATGTAACATGTAATTCACTATTTTATTTGACTACCTTCTTACTTTTAACATTATATTAAAACTCACTTCGATGCTATTTAAAGTTATACATAGTTTTAGTACTACATATATTCCAATTTCACTATATTTCTATTAAGGGAGCCAAGATGATGACTAAGATATTTTACCTAGGGTATCACCAGCTTGAAATTGCTTGAAAAAGGCCCATTCATTGTAATTGTAGTTGAATGTCCACCCTGCAAGATCACCAACTTGATAAACAGTAGCCATGGCGGATCCCGAAGCAGCCATCATCACCATCAACACGACCAACATTGCTTTTCCGAAGAAAGTCATAGCTATACTTTTTTAGAATAATTAAGACCTCTGAACCTGAATACTAGTGATTTGAACGAATGAGTTTATGAGGCCTTTTATAGGAGTAGTTAGTTTTCAAGAATAGAATTTAAGGAAACACGCATAGTACTTTTGGAAAATATACTTCCCAAGTACTTCTTAAAAAAAAAAAAACAAGAATCTCTAAAGTTTTCCTTTTGTTTTCTTTATTACTTATTAGTACGTCAAAAGTCTCAAAATATTGAAAATTCCTTTTTTAATAAATTATGTTAGTTAACCAAAATAATTTCAAGAGTTAAAATAGCCAAGAACCCCAAGTAGGACAAACTTTGTTAATTTTAAGGAAACAATTTTGGACAATTTCCTATTAAGTAGTTATGTCATTTTTTCCTTTATATTAATTTTCTATAAGTTGGGTAAACAAAATTTTCAAATACTATAATAAACGTAATTCCTAGTAAAATAGTTTTTTTGTGTGATGTTTAGGTAGTACTTAACATAACACACAATTTCCTTTCATATAGTATTAATTTCCATAAATTGGAAAAACAATTTTTTCAAAATAATATATAATCGATTTTCAGACGATTATTTAAGCGAGTCATTGCATCCATTATTAACAACACTAGTATAGTACCCTGCGATGTGTAAACATTATTAAATTAAATTATAATTGTGAGTTTGCTTATTTGAATGTGTTTAGATCATATTAAACCAATAAATACCTAACTATTATTTTAGTTTGCAACACAATGTACCTAATAAAAAATTGAAGAACATAAATTTTATAAATAAAATTATCAAATAACTTAAAAATATTATTATCTTATTTTACAATACAATATGAGAGAAGTGCCTCTAGCAAAATGGTTAATAATAAAGGTTGATTATGATTTAAGATAATATAATATTGCTCGGAGATAATTGTCTTTATTACAATGTTATAATAGTCCGTCACAATTTCATATAGTCATCAATCAGTTACCCAATAAATTTATGTTATATTAGTTACTTTTTATAAGCGGTAAATTCAAGATTTAAATTTTATGGGTTTAAATTAGAAACTCTTATCTTAATTATAAATACATACTTAATTATTAATTAATATGAGCATCAACATATATATTTTCTTCTAATCTATAGTAGAGAAACAGTAAGTAAAAGGATATTTAAATCCATTACCTTGTAAGAAATTAATTGATTTTCTAACTTGAATTTTATTCATGGACATGTACAAATCTTGAGAACTATTTATTTCATTAGAAGGCAAAAAAGAACTACAAAGGAGGTAGAACTTTAAAATAAGCAGATAAGATAATTACATGAAATGACACAAATGGCTATATAGCTAAATATATATATGCTCCCAAAAACTTGCTCCCTATAGTTGTTTTTGAAGTATATCAAAACAGTAGGAAAATTTTAAGAAAATGAACGACATCTTTGATGATAAAATTATTCAATTATCAAAAATAAATTCAACAATTAAAACATTACAAACAATGAAATAATAACGTGCATATTTATTTTCTTTCGAATTTTTGAATTTCATTAATGTTATGACTTCATCAACGTACTTTGAATCTAATTGCACATCATATCAACCAGTGGGCTGGAAAGAGCTCTGCAGTACAAGATATATGATTGACCATGATATTTTTTGGAGCATTGGCAGAGGAGATATCTCATTTTGGTATGATAATTATATTGGTGTAGTCTTGGTCCCCTATATCATCAGGTGGACAATAATGTCAATATCAATGATATTCAGTTGAAAGATATTTGTCAAAATGGTGAATGGGAGTGGAACAGGCTCAATATCTCTATCCCCGAAGAAGTGAAAAAAGTGATCTACAATCAACATAGCCCTATTGCCTTCTATAACAAGGAGGACAAGCCTATATGGACTCTTTCACACACGGGAAAGTTCACTATAGGATCTGCATGGAGGGAGCTGAGACAAGAAAGGATCCCAAACGACATGGACAATAGACTGTGGCACCAAAACATCCCTTTCAAGATGTCATTTCTTACTTGGAGGGCCATCCATAACAAGCTGTCTATAGACCAAAGGATCGCAAGATTTGGGATCCCAATGGATCCAAAATGCTACTGTTGTAACTCAAACAGAGTGGTCACTGACCTTGAATCAGTGGATCATTTGTTTTGTCATGGGGATTTTGCTACGAAAATTTGGTTTCATTTTGCAGGACCTCTAGGCATAAGCACCAACAATATCAATTTGAGATTCACTCTACTCAATTGGTGGAATCACAGAACCAAGAACCCTTTCTGCACCTTTGTTATCAAGATCATCCAACTTTCATTTGTTGGGAAATTTGGCGAACTAGATGCAGCAACAATTATGAAGCCAAAAAACCTTCAGCTTACAAATCAGTCCTAACATCTTGTTCAATACTCCCTCCGTTTCACAAAGAATGACCTGGTTTGACTTGGCACGGAGTTTAAGTAAATAAAGAAGACTTTTGAATCTTGTGGTCCTAAATTAAAGTTATGTCAAATGTACAAAATTGCCCTTAATCTTGTGGTCTTAAATATGCCACGTAGGAAAGTAAAAAGTAAAATGTTACCAAAAAAGGAAAGAGGTCATTCTTTTTGAAACTGACTAAAAAGGAAAGGAGGTCATTCTTTGTGAAACGGAGGGAGTATCTTGCAGGTCTTGAATAAGAAATTCGGAAGAGCGATATTTGGAGATAATTCACTACTAAAAAACGACGGACAGAAAAGCGACGGACGGCGTCGCTCCAAAAAGCGACACCATTTGCCATGTTGTCCGTCGCTTTTTAATAAAAATAATTATTTTTTAAATTATTTTTCAAAAAGCGACGGACGGCATCTCTTAGTCCGTCGCTTTTTTCGAATGTTTGCGCAAAACGACGGACAGCATCTCTAAGTCCGTCGCTTTTTGGTCAACTTGACTGGTCAAACAATTAAGAAAAGCAATGGACAGCGTCTCTTAGTCCGTCGCTTTTTTGGTCAACTATTTTAAAAAAAGCGACGGACAAAGAGACGTTGTCCGTCGCTTTTCTTAAAATATTTTTGACCCAGATCGGGATTTTCCTATTTTCTTCTCTCTCTCTGCTCTCTTCTTCTCTCTCTCTCCTCTCTTTTTCTCTCTTCACTCTTATTCTCTCCCTTCTCTCTATCGATCTCCCTCCACCAGATGCCGCCTCCACCTCCACCGCCGCCGCTGTCACTGCCCTTGCCCGTCGCCGCCAGTCATAGTCCGTCACCGCCCATGTAACATCCGGCGATTTGAAATAATTATGAAGAGGCTTAGAATTGGAAATAGTCATTTTTGGAAAGATTTAAAAATCTGGAAAATTTGACTTAGTATGGAAAAGGGGTGAGTTTTGGCCAACTTTGAGCAGTCATAACTTCTAGCTCATGATGAGTTAGGAGTAGTTCCAGTTATGGTTGCATAGCTCGTGGAATGGTCTTTCCAACGCCACCGAGTTTGCTCGATTCCGAGTTCGTATGAGTGAGTTATGACCTTTGAAAGTTGGGCAGTTGGCAGGGAATCCGTCCGAAAATTTTAAGGGCATTTTGGTCTTTTCCCTAGCCATTTCTCTTGAGGTTATATTGTTGTGTTAGACTTATTGTGGATAATTTTTTTTTCCATTTTAAAAGAGTAAAGAGTTAGGGTTCTTGAGTGAAGAAGAGGAGAAGAGAGAAAGAAGAGAAGAAGAAGAGGGGATCAAGGAACTTCCGTCAAGGATCGTCGTGGAAATCGTCGGGGGTGATCCCTACTAGGTATGTGAGTAGTTAGTGTTGGGTTGATCCTTTCCCCCACACATCAAACCCCTTTTATTTTGAGAAAAGATTGGTTGTGTTGTTTGGAGTTGTTGATGTTGTTGTTGGTATTGTTGAAGTCCCTTGTGATTTGGGACATGTTTCCAGTTGGTTTTTGAGTTGTATTCTATTGTATATTGAGGGATTTGATGATCCTTAGTGGTTGGGGTTGAAACCTTTGGAGTTGGGGTGGTTTAGAGTTGGAAAAAAGGGAGAAAAGTCAAGTTTCTGGGCAAGGAGGTTGGCGCGTCGCGCCTGCCAGCGCACCCCGAAAGGGGTTCTGAATTTTTCCCCTTGGGGCGCCGCGCCTAGCAGGGCGCCAGCAGGCCCCTCTGAAGTTTTGGGGCTGGCGCTCCGCGCCTTGCAGAGCGCCAAGGACACCAAGTGTCCCTTTTCATTTCACACCTTCCCATGCATGTTCCTTGGTATTGTACCTATGTTTTAT